TGCCTTAGCTTCTTTGTATTCCTCTTCTCTAGTTTCTATTTCATTTATCGTCCCCTCCACTGTATCCAACCTGCTTTTAAAACCCTCCATCGTGCTCTTCAGTGATTGGATCTCCGACCTGAATTCATTCCTGAGTTGGATATCTTTCCGTACCTCCATTAGCATGTTGATGACTTTTATTTTGAACTCCCTTCCAGGAAGATTCGTAAGGTCCATGTCATTTAAATCTTTCTCCGGAGTTATATTAATTTTACTCTGGACAAGGTCCCTTTGGTGTTTCATGTTTGTATATGGCGCCCTCTAGTGTCCAGAAGCTCTACTCTGGAGCTGCTCAGCCCCTGAAGCAATGTCGGGGGTCACAGGGGAGCGGTATTGGTGCCTCAGGGTAGGAAAGAGCTGTTTCCCGTTTTCTGGCTGCTATGCCTGTCTCCACTGCTGAACCAATGGGCTGAGCACACAGACATAAGCTTTTGTCCCAGAGCAGCTGGATATGGATCCCTGCTTTACACAAGTGGCCGGAATCCCAGTCTCCCCAGGAACTCTGCCTGTATTAACTTTCCAACCCAGTAGTCATGCGAGTCTCATGAAAGCACCATCAAATGTAGGTTTGTGCTCCCAGCGCAGATCTCCAGAGCTAGGTTTTCAGCAGTCCCAGGCCTTCCACTCCCTTCCTGCTCCGTTTCTCTTTCTCCCTTTGGTGAGCTGGGGTGGGGGAAGGGCTTGGGTCCTGCCTGGCCACAGCTTTGGTACGTTACCCTGTTCCTTGAGGTCTGCTCTATTCTCCAGGTGTACGCAGTCTGGCGCCGTCTTCTTTCCTGTTGCGCTCTCAGGATTAGTGTGCCAACTATATTTTCTAATTGTATCCAGTTTTAGGAGGAAGCCTCTGTCTCTCCTCTCATGCTGCCATCTTTAATCCATCTCTGGTTGTTACCACTTTCTATAATTTCTTTAGAAAGACAGGTAAAATTGTTACTGGTGTTTGAGCATGTCCTTCCCCTGCTCACCATTGCATTCCTCCTTTAGTAGCCTACAGAATGTTTTGTGGAATGGAGCTGGTGATGAGGGTGAGGAGCTGGCAGTGACCCCCTCCTAAGGGCTCTGCATGACTATCTTTCTCTTCTTATCCCCTCAGAACATTCTGTTCCAGCCAAGGTGGTGAGGGCAGCAGTTCCTAAACAGCGCAAAGGCAGCAAGGTAAGAAGTTGGAGTGCGCAACCAGAGGGGACTTTCTGGAGGTGATAGCTTCTCTCCTGTTCTAGTGAGTACTTCTGAGTTGCCAGGTAGTTCTGGATTCTCTCTGAATAGCGAGGGAGCCCCTTCTGGGCCTCCAGTGTAGATGGTCCTAGTGGACAGAAGGGTTTTTACCTCTGATAGCTCAGTGGAGCTGAATTTGGATGAGGGACTGAATGGCAGAGGCAAGGTCACTGCAGGGCCCTCATGGAATGTGCGTTGCAGGTTGGTGACTTTGGAGATGCAATCAACTGGCCCACACCTGGAGAGATAGCCCACAAGAGTGCACAGGTGAGTCTGTGGGGAGTGACGGGTAGGTTTCAGTGCTATCTGCATATACACATACGGCTTCTCAGCCTTTCACAGCCTCAATCTTACCTTTCTCAATTTTTTAAGGGGAGTAGTTGGTATAATATAGGCAACATTGAAATTGCTAAGAATAATTATCATTTGCACCCATGCTCTGTCAGGGGCTGCCAAGTGCTATCTGTTTAACATTTCATGTAACCTTCATGGTTACTCCAGGATAGGTCCTTTGATAATTCCTGTTTTACAGGTAAGGCCACTGGAGCTGGGAGAGGTTAATAGCTAGCCCTTGATGACCAAGTGGGGATTGGGTCAAGTGTGTTATATCATACCAGAGCCTGTGTTCTCCATCACTACCCTTGGGTTGCGAGTGAAGCAGGAGAAAGTGGTCAGTAGGCCAGGTACCCACCTCCAGACCACGTCTTAGGGAAGCTTCTGTAGTTCTCCTTCGTTCCCGTGGAGAAGGAACTCCTAATCCTCACCTTCCCATGCTTTTGTTCTGTGGCCATTGGCTTTCAGTTCACAGACGAGGTCTGTGTGGACAGCTAGGGGCCAGCACCTCTCCATCCCCGCGACTGCCTGGATGATGGAGTCCTGGTGCAGGGAATAACCATTTGGCCCCTGTAGGCCTAGCCACTCTATTCTGGTGGTTGTCTCTGTCACTTAGAGATTCTAGGAAGCTGGAAAGACAGGTTATCTCCCTCCTTCTCACTGACTGACCACACTTTCCAGTGAAAGCTTCTCACACATGAACACAGGACCTTAGGATTCATCCAGTCCAGCCTGCTGCTGCATGCTTCAGCTCCTTTTGCCCTTTCTGCTGACAGGGAGCTTCCTTCCAGCCCATCCCAAGAGGCTCTTAGACTCACCTCATCTCCTGTTACTTTACTTCCCACTGCAGCCACTGTCCCACAAACCTCAGCCTGCCCGCAAGCTGCCACCCAAAAAGGACATGAAGGAACAGGAGAAAGAGGGGAGTGACAGTAAGGAGAGCCTGAAAACCAAGTCGGATGAATCAGGGGAGGAGAAGAATGGGGACGAGGATTGTCAGCGAGCGGGGCAGAAGAAGAAAGGTGAGTGACCCGGAGCACCACTGGGGAGAAGGTGGCAGGGCGGAAGTGTGAGCTGTCAGAATGCGGCGGCTGCTGGAGGGGTGTCAGGCTGACTGGCAGTGCCCAGAACAGGTGAGGTCCCTTAGAGTATTCTGTCTTGCTGTTCTGCGGGCCCAGATAAGATTTCATTAAGAGTTCCTATCACTCTGACTGAAGTGGTGAGAGCACAAGTTTGGCAGCTGTAGTAGAGCCAAAGTACCAGCGGTCTAAACCAGACAGAGTTTGTTGCTCTCAGCTGACAGCTTGGTGCAGGTAGGCCAGGTCTAGAATGGCAGCCTTCACTCCTTTTGTCTCGCTGTGGTGTGTTGGCTCTTCTTATCCAAGGTGACTCACTCTTTCCAGCCAGTGGGATGGGAAAAAGGGGAGAGTGGCTCCCTTCCTTTTAGGGGACTCAGCCTGGAATTGACTCCTTTCACTTAGCCCTTGCAGGCAGAATATTGGCATGTGTCTAAGGGGAACCTGGAAGTGCGGTCTTGATTCTGGACAGCCATGTGTCTGGCTCCAGAAGGGGGTTCTCTGACCATGGAGCAATCAGTATTGGAGTCGGCAGGAGTGTCCATCACACTGAGGCCCGTGGCCTCCTTGTTTTAGAGAGAAAAATGAAGTCCCAGCATGGGAAAGGAATTTGCCCAAGGCCACTGGATGGTGAATGAGGCCTGAAGCTCCAGGCGCAGGGGAAGGAGGGCTGGGGGCAGGAATGGCTGGGAGGGACCTTTCCTTTAAGGCTTTCTCATGTGCCCATGCTGCCCTCCAGGGAACAAACACAAATGGGTTCCGCTACAAATTGACATGAAGCCTGAAGTGCCCAGAGAGAAGCTGGTCTCGCGCCCTGCTCGCCCACCAGAGCCACGACACACACCTGCCAGCCGTGGAGAGATCAAAGGTATGAACTGCCCACTGCGGAGGACCTGGGTATGGGGGTCTCCATCGGGCCTGACCCAGTGTCCCCTCTCCTCACAGGATCTGAGCTTGCCACCTACATGCCCGTGCCCATGGCTCCCACCACCCAGGCCTGGCAACCAGAGACCAAATCAGAGCCCACCTGGCATGACCAGGATGAGACATCAAGTGTGAAGAGTGATGGGGCTGGTGGGGCACGGGTTTCCTTCCGTGGACGTGGACGGGGGCGTGGTCGCGGCCGGGGTCGCGGCCGGGGTGGCACTCGAAGTACGTGAGGACCCTTTGGGCTCCGGGATGTACAAGGGAGTGTGGTGGGAGCGATGGGCAGGGATCTCCTCTCCCTTATGGCACCTGTTTCCCCCATAGCCCATTTTGACTACCAATTTGGCTACCGGAAGTTTGATGGTACAGAGGGGCCTCGTACCCCCAAGTATATGAACAACATCACCTACTACTTTGACAATGTCAGCAGCACTGAGCTCTACAGTGTGGACCAGGAGCTTCTGAAAGACTACATCAAGCGCCAGATGTGAGTGGAGAGGGGAAATGGGGTGGAGCTGCCAGGGGGACGGCAGCTGGGCAGAGTAGGACTGGACAGGCCCTTCTGGTACTAGCAACAGCTGCTACCCCTCAGTGAAGCTGAGAAAGATAACTTCCTTATCTTTTAAGCTAATTTTTTATAAAATTATTTGTTACAGAGGTCATAACCTGTTACAGAGGTATTTACCTGAAGAAAATTAGAAATTACTAGAAAAAGGAGAGAAAATGTCTAGATGCCAGCTCCTTCTCTGCTTCTGTTTGTAATGACAGCACTGTCAGACACCATTGCATTCCTCCTTTAGTAGCCTACAGAATGTTTTGTGGAATGGAGCTGGTGATGAGGGTGAGGAGCTGGCAGTGACCCCCTCCTAAGGGCTCTGCATGACTATCTTTCTCTTCTTATCCCCTCAGAACATTCTGTTCCAGCCAAGGTGGTGAGGGCAGCAGTTCCTAAACAGCGCAAAGGCAGCAAGGTAAGAAGTTGGAGTGCGCAACCAGAGGGGACTTTCTGGAGGTGATAGCTTCTCTCCTGTTCTAGTGAGTACTTCTGAGTTGCCAGGTAGTTCTGGATTCTCTCTGAATAGCGAGGGAGCCCCTTCTGGGCCTCCAGTGTAGATGGTCCTAGTGGACAGAAGGGTTTTTACCTCTGATAGCTCAGTGGAGCTGAATTTGGATGAGGGACTGAATGGCAGAGGCAAGGTCACTGCAGGGCCCTCATGGAATGTGCGTTGCAGGTTGGTGACTTTGGAGATGCAATCAACTGGCCCACACCTGGAGAGATAGCCCACAAGAGTGCACAGGTGAGTCTGTGGGGAGTGACGGGTAGGTTTCAGTGCTATCTGCATATACACATACGGCTTCTCAGCCTTTCACAGCCTCAATCTTACCTTTCTCAATTTTTTAAGGGGAGTAGTTGGTATAATATAGGCAACATTGAAATTGCTAAGAATAATTATCATTTGCACCCATGCTCTGTCAGGGGCTGCCAAGTGCTATCTGTTTAACATTTCATGTAACCTTCATGGTTACTCCAGGATAGGTCCTTTGATAATTCCTGTTTTACAGGTAAGGCCACTGGAGCTGGGAGAGGTTAATAGCTAGCCCTTGATGACCAAGTGGGGATTGGGTCAAGTGTGTTATATCATACCAGAGCCTGTGTTCTCCATCACTACCCTTGGGTTGCGAGTGAAGCAGGAGAAAGTGGTCAGTAGGCCAGGTACCCACCTCCAGACCACGTCTTAGGGAAGCTTCTGTAGTTCTCCTTCGTTCCCGTGGAGAAGGAACTCCTAATCCTCACCTTCCCATGCTTTTGTTCTGTGGCCATTGGCTTTCAGTTCACAGACGAGGTCTGTGTGGACAGCTAGGGGCCAGCACCTCTCCATCCCCGCGACTGCCTGGATGATGGAGTCCTGGTGCAGGGAATAACCATTTGGCCCCTGTAGGCCTAGCCACTCTATTCTGGTGGTTGTCTCTGTCACTTAGAGATTCTAGGAAGCTGGAAAGACAGGTTATCTCCCTCCTTCTCACTGACTGACCACACTTTCCAGTGAAAGCTTCTCACACATGAACACAGGACCTTAGGATTCATCCAGTCCAGCCTGCTGCTGCATGCTTCAGCTCCTTTTGCCCTTTCTGCTGACAGGGAGCTTCCTTCCAGCCCATCCCAAGAGGATCTTAGACTCACCTCATCTCCTGTTACTTTACTTCCCACTGCAGCCACTGTCCCACAAACCTCAGCCTGCCCGCAAGCTGCCACCCAAAAAGGACATGAAGGAACAGGAGAAAGAGGGGAGTGACAGTAAGGAGAGCCTGAAAACCAAGTCGGATGAATCAGGGGAGGAGAAGAATGGGGACGAGGATTGTCAGCGAGCGGGGCAGAAGAAGAAAGGTGAGTGACCCGGAGCACCACTGGGGAGAAGGTGGCAGGGCGGAAGTGTGAGCTGTCAGAATGCGGCGGCTGCTGGAGGGGTGTCAGGCTGACTGGCAGTGCCCAGAACAGGTGAGGTCCCTTAGAGTATTCTGTCTTGCTGTTCTGCGGGCCCAGATAAGATTTCATTAAGAGTTCCTATCACTCTGACTGAAGTGGTGAGAGCACAAGTTTGGCAGCTGTAGTAGAGCCAAAGTACCAGCGGTCTAAACCAGACAGAGTTTGTTGCTCTCAGCTGACAGCTTGGTGCAGGTAGGCCAGGTCTAGAATGGCAGCCTTCACTCCTTTTGTCTCGCTGTGGTGTGTTGGCTCTTCTTATCCAAGGTGACTCACTCTTTCCAGCCAGTGGGATGGGAAAAAGGGGAGAGTGGCTCCCTTCCTTTTAGGGGACTCAGCCTGGAATTGACTCCTTTCACTTAGCCCTTGCAGGCAGAATATTGGCATGTGTCTAAGGGGAACCTGGAAGTGCGGTCTTGATTCTGGACAGCCATGTGTCTGGCTCCAGAAGGGGGTTCTCTGACCATGGAGCAATCAGTATTGGAGTCGGCAGGAGTGTCCATCACACTGAGGCCCGTGGCCTCCTTGTTTTAGAGAGAAAAATGAAGTCCCAGCATGGGAAAGGAATTTGCCCAAGGCCACTGGATGGTGAATGAGGCCTGAAGCTCCAGGCGCAGGGGAAGGAGGGCTGGGGGCAGGAATGGCTGGGAGGGACCTTTCCTTTAAGGCTTTCTCATGTGCCCATGCTGCCCTCCAGGGAACAAACACAAATGGGTTCCGCTACAAATTGACATGAAGCCTGAAGTGCCCAGAGAGAAGCTGGTCTCGCGCCCTGCTCGCCCACCAGAGCCACGACACACACCTGCCAGCCGTGGAGAGATCAAAGGTATGAACTGCCCACTGCGGAGGACCTGGGTATGGGGGTCTCCATCGGGCCTGACCCAGTGTCCCCTCTCCTCACAGGATCTGAGCTTGCCACCTACATGCCCGTGCCCATGGCTCCCACCACCCAGGCCTGGCAACCAGAGACCAAATCAGAGCCCACCTGGCATGACCAGGATGAGACATCAAGTGTGAAGAGTGATGGGGCTGGTGGGGCACGGGCTTCCTTCCGTGGACGTGGACGGGGGCGTGGTCGCGGCCGGGGTCGCGGCCGGGGTGGCACTCGAAGTACGTGAGGACCCTTTGGGCTCCGGGATGTACAAGGGAGTGTGGTGGGAGCGATGGGCAGGGATCTCCTCTCCCTTATGGCACCTGTTTCCCCCATAGCCCATTTTGACTACCAATTTGGCTACCGGAAGTTTGATGGTACAGAGGGGCCTCGTACCCCCAAGTATATGAACAACATCACCTACTACTTTGACAATGTCAGCAGCACTGAGCTCTACAGTGTGGACCAGGAGCTTCTGAAAGACTACATCAAGCGCCAGATGTGAGTGGAGAGGGGAAATGGGGTGGAGCTGCCAGGGGACGGCAGCTGGGCAGAGTAGGACTGGACAGGCCCTTCTGGTACTAGCAACAGCTGCTACCCCTCAGTGAAGCTGAGAAAGATAACTTCCTTATCTTTTAAGCTAATTTTTTATAAAATTATTTGTTACAGAGGTCATAACCTGTTACAGAGGTATTTACCTGAAGAAAATTAGAAATTACTAGAAAAAGGAGAGAAAATGTCTAGATGCCAGCTCCTTCTCTGCTTCTGTTTGTAATGACAGCACTGTCAGAATGCTACAAACACAGAGTCCTCACCATTGGCGAGGCTCAGTGCTACATGCTTTACAGGCGTTCTCTTTTTTTATTTTCTTTATTTAATTAAGCACTTGTCTACTTAATTCCTATGAGCTGGGTCTTTTCCCCATTTTATAGAGGAGCAAACCAGCCCAGTAACTTGCCTAGAGTCTCATAGCTAATAAGCAACAAGGTACAGATTTGAATCCATTTCTGTCTGATTGCAAAACCTTAGCTCCAAACTACTCCAGTACGGTGTCTTCTCAGCCCAGTGGGGGAGCCGTACAAGGAAATGGATCATTCCAGCTATGTGGTGTTTTGAGGAGCAGAAGGGAAAATGACCAACAACATTGGAACTGGGTTTTAAAGAAGGATGTTGAGTTTGCCAGGCATACAGAGAGGCCAAAGGGCAGAGGGAATGGTTTGGCCCAAGGTTAAGTAGCCATGAAAGGATAATATCTCTTTGCAGCCCTAAATACAGTATGTTTAATAGGTTCAGGGTAGGTCAGAGGTGTGTGAGGCCCCTGGGGTGTACAGAACAAGGAAGACATACTCATGATTGATGCAGTAGTCATGGCTGTCCTCTCCACCTAGTGAATACTACTTCAGCGTGGACAACTTAGAGCGAGACTTCTTCCTGCGACGGAAAATGGATGCTGACGGTTTCCTTCCCATCACTCTTATTGCTTCCTTCCACCGAGTGCAGGCCCTCACCACTGACATTTCACTCATTTTTGTGGTACGTCTCCCTCCCCGGGGCTGGGCTGCAGGGGAAAGAAAAGTCCTTACTTCTGGAGCTCTGCAGAAAACTCCCAGAGTCCCATCTGATTACTTCTGCTGAAGTTCCAAGGCTTGTCCAGCCTCATTTCCTCCCTCCCTTCCTCTTCTCTCTCCCTTTTAATATGGAAAATTTCAGGCATTTGTAGTAGTAGACAAAATGGAATAATGAACCCATTGCCCAGCCTCAGCAATTTTCAATCCATGCCAGTCTTACTCCATCTATCCCCTTACCTGTTTCCCTTCCCTAATTACTTTGAAGAAAACCTCAGTTAACCTGACATTTCCTCCGTGTTTTAGTTTGTGTCTCTAAGATAAAGACCTATTAAGAAACATAATCATGGTATCATTATCACATGTAAAAATATTAATAATTCCTTAATATTAGCAAAAGTTCATTCCATTGAAAATTCACCCTGCTTGTGAAAAAAATTTTTAGTAGTTTGTGAGACTCAGGATCCAAATAAGATGGGTGAATTACTTTTATTAAGTCTCCCCTCCCCCGCTCTTTGCAGTTTATTATTTGAACTCCGGGATGTCCAAGGGAGTGTGGTGGGGGCGATGGGCAGGGATCTCCTCTCCCTTATGGCACCTGTTTCCCCCATAGCCCATTTTGACTACCAATTTGGCTACAGCCCAGTGGGGGAGCCGTACAAGGAAATGGATCATTCCAGCTATGTGGTGTTTTCAGGAGCAGAAGGGAAAATGACCAACATTGGAACTGGGGTTTAAAGGAGGATGTCTTGTAGACATACAAGGCATAGAAGACTATGTCTTACAGAATTTCCCACAGAGTACAGTGGCTTCATTTAACATGTTCTTCTCTCTCTAATAGGTTCTGTCTCTAAGATAAAGATCTATAAGAAACATAATCACAATATCATTATCACATGTAAAAATATTAATAATTCCTTAATATTATCAAATGTTCATTCCATTGAAAATTTTTTTAAATTGGTGATCTAGAGGCCTGATCACATTCAGGTTTTGCTGTTTTTTTTCTCTCCTCCTGGTAAAGAATATAATGATATATTTGCCCAAGTGGCACATAGCATTTCATTTCATCTTTCTTGTGGTATAAGCTGCTACTGGTGATCACTGCCTGTTATTTCATTAGGGATTGCAAAGTGGTAATAGTCTAATTATTCAATCTGTCTTCACTTGTTAGCTGGAATACCTCATGTTAGCTGGAAATTTGCCTCATCACCTATTCAGTTACCAAGAAGTATGGTTTGTACGGAAAGGGCAGATAAATGCTTGATCTTTCCCTTTTTTGACTTGTTTTCAGAATTGAACTGACCCTTAATAACCTTCAAAGGTAACCAGTGAGGTTTTTGTTTCACTGTCTTCTAGTATCATTATAAACTTACAGATTCAAACATAATTATTTCAATCAATTGCAGTTAATATGCTGAAAAAAAATTGTCCCATCTTTGGCCAGTAGGACCCTGGTTCATCTTGTACATCTACTGCCCCAGATTTGGAATTGGCCATTTTTTTTGTAGGATCTAGGTCTTCTATTTTAGGGAAATGGTATTTATGGTATTTAGATACTGAAGTCTTGAGCTATAGGGGTGTTTATTGATACTTCATTGGATATTGTTTCTAGAATTTTTTGTTTTTTTTTTAATACATCATGAGATTAGACTGCTATTTTCTATTAAAATTGAGAACTACATAGTCTTTAGTTAACCCCAATGATCTTTTATTTGTAACTACTTCTTTCTCCCATGCCAAAAATCTTCATTCCTAATGACATCAACATGAGACATCAACATAATTACTCATTTGTTCTATCATTTATATATTATTATACACAGTTCATTACATTGTTCTTGTAATAATACCTCTACTGCTACTAAAAACAGGTCTTTTCTATTTATGTACTCAAATGACTATATTTTCAAGTTATTTGAAGTAATCTTTTGTGGTTATCTCTTTAACTTGAAGGATATTTTAATTTTTTTTTAATCATTTGAAAATTTTGCTCTCAAGTTAGAGATTGCTTCTCCCCCTCCTCCTGTGATTTCTATTTTGTTTTACATTTATATAAAATGTTTACATAGTTGTATGGTATATTCTAAAGTCAACATGATATATTCATAGAAGTCCAGTTTAAAACTCTCACCTTTTTTCTTTCTTCCCCTATAGCCAACCTTTTTTTATCCTGCCATTAAAAAAAAAATGAGCAAATGCCTCTCTATGTATTGGTATCCTTCCCTTTCATAGATAAATGGTAACATATAACACATTTCTTCACCTCTTTTATAGTTTTCACTTAAGATAGCTGGGAGCTAACTGCATAGTATGTAATGGAAAGATACTCCTCATTCCTATTTCTAGTTGCATGTCTGTCTATTCCCATTTTTGCCTCTGTGTCTTTGCTGTAGGTACTCTAAGCACGTTGGCTGGCCCGAAGGGCAGGTGCGTGCGTTGTTCAGCTGGTTGTTGCCCTACTCCCTTTCTTCAGGGGTTGTGTCTCTTGCATTCTCACCAGCCTCTTTCCCCATCCTCACCCACAGAGTATGTTGTCACATGTTAAATGTTTTCCTCTTCGATTTAAAAGATTTTTTAGAAGAAAATTCCCCTCCCCTCTCTACCCTTTACCTTTTCTCCTAGAGATAAAAACACTCAGAGCAGTTTACCTGTGAATCCTACAAATATGTATGTATTTGTATGTTTTTAACTTAAAAACTCAAAACTACCTTGTGTCAGCTCTTTCTACCTCAGTATATGTGAAGCCTTTTTTAAAATGTCTGAGTAGTGTTGCATTGAGTTGGATGTGCCGTAATTTATTTAAATTGTCTATGATGTGGCAAGTTAGGTGGTTTCCAGTTTTTTTCTATTACAGGCAATGGTGCTGTGAATCACCTTTTATCACATCTTATACATATTGTCACCTCTTTGTGCAAGTATTTCTCTGAGGCAGATTGCTGAAACTGGAATGGCAGGACCAAAGGGCATTTGCGTTTTTCATGTTAGTACCCTCCTAAGTTTGAACATCTCATTTGTCCACTAGTCCTGGAAAGTGGTGTCAGTTTTTTTAATACTTCTGCCAGCACAGCACTCATACCTGAGCTCATGGGGGCCTAGTCAGTCTTCCAGTTTCTAAGATCTCAGTCCATCCAAGTCATTCCAGTGCATCCTCTCCCTCCTCCCCCACTGCAGGCCCTAAAGGACAGCAAGGTGGTGGAGATTGTTGATGAGAAAATCCGAAGGAGAGAGGAGCCAGAGAAATGGCCTCTTCCTGGTCCTCCGATAGTTGATTATTCCCAGACTGATTTCTCCCAGCTTCTCAATTGCCCTGAGTTTGTGCCCCGCCAGCACTATCAGAAGGAGACAGGTAGGTGCCCTGCTGGCATGTGGGTGCGTCCCTGTTGCCCTGGTCCTCTGGCCAGCAGTGTTTCTTGGGTCAGGAGGAGGACTAGCAGGATGAAGGTTTCACCTTTCCACCCTCCAGAGTCGGCGCCTGGCTCTCCCCGTGCAGTCACCCCAGTGCCAACCAAAACAGAGGAGGTCAGCAACCTAAAGACCCTGCCCAAGGGGCTGTCTGCCAGCCTGCCTGACCTGGATTCTGAGAACTGGATTGAAGTGAAGAAGAGGCCTCGGCCTTCCCCGGCACGACCCAAGGTGGGTGAGGCCTGTCACTCACCCTGGGTCCTAGGGGCTGGGCTGGAGCTCTTAAAGCGGGTGTCACATAGACACAGGGCTCTGGGCTCTGAGGGACTGGTGTGGGGCTCGTGGTTACAATGTGAGCTGAGGTCCCCAGTGACTGCAGGGAAGCTGATGGGCTTGTTTCTTTGTCTGTTGTAAACAGGCAGGGGATACTGCTTAGGGCAGTATTCACAGGAAGAGACCATGCAGCCTCTGGCAGCAGTGTCCCAGGTTTTTTGATGCTTGGCTTTTCTTTTTTCCCCATCCACATCCCTGGAGCTGCATTTTAAGTGCCTTTCCTCAGAATGTGTCGTCATTGTCCCCTATGCCCCTCAGGCCCTCTGAAGAAGAAAGGGAGAGGGAGCAGATGACAGCCTGGATGTAAAGTTAGTGTGAACTAGAGCACAGATCTCCTGTCCCTGCTGGCTGGTGACCTTGGGAAGCTTGTTTCAGTTTCCTCATCTTCAAGTAAAAGGAAGGAGGGGTTAGACTCCTCTAGAAATAGTAAAGGAATAGACAGACAGTACAAATGGAGCCCACTGTTAGAGAAATGTTGTGTTTTCAAGCTAAAATTGCTGCTCCTTCTCTAGGAGCAAACTTGCTCCATCCCTCACTGCCCCGCAACCCCTCTTCAGAGTGTCCTTGGTCTGGGGCTTGTGAGGAGGCCTCAGAGATGACCTTGGACTTTGTGGAATTCTGTGTTCCCTGTTCCGTTGTACCACTGTGACCACCTCCCTCATCTCCTCCCTCCCTGCCTGTTTGTACCCCCATTTTCCCCATCTGTTCTGGCTGTGTTTCTTCAGAAAGTGTCAGGGATCAGGCCAGAGTCAGGAGAAGAAAGGTAGTAAGCGCACAAGGACCTTACAGGATCCATGCCTGCAGACTGAAGGCTTTGGGAAGGAAGGAGCCGGGGTTAGCTCCCATTCTGGAAGAGCTCCCACTCCCACCTGGCCCATCTTGGACCTTAAAAGAGAATAGGTTTGGAGTTTATATGGGACTTTGCACAGTAGGAAATTGACTTTTGGATACATGCTGTGAGGTAGACCAATGCCTCTTCCCCAAAGTCTCAGATCAATTCAGCCTATCAGCACTCTCAAGTGTCTTTGCTGAAAGGCCCTGTTTTCCCTTGCCTTTGGGATGTGCTGCTCCATCTGTCGAGCACACTCTGTCCCTTCATCTGGCTTGCTTACAGCTATCGTTTAGTAGTTGCTTCTTTCAGGAAGCCTTCCCTGGTGGTCCTCATGCCCACCCCCAGTTGGGTAAGTGTCTGTGTACTTCCACAAAGGCTACTTATAGTCTTTACCATACACCACATTACAGTTGGCTGGCTGGGTGATTGACTTCTCGTCCCACTAAACTGTGAGCTCCTTAAGTTCAAGGGCCTTGTCTTGTTCATTATTCTGCTTCAAGGTTGTTCATACAGGGCCTGGTACCAGTGGACAGTTGCTCATTTATCACATAGCTGAACATCTGCTGTTGCCAGGTTCCAATCTCTAGGTACTGAGGATGTAATGGGAAGCAAGGCAGCTGTGGTCCTTGCCTCACGAAGCTTTTGGTCTATTTGGAAACGCTGGGTAGATGGATAAATGGATGAACTCCCGTTATGTGCCCACTCCCAAGCTAGGTGCTGTGTAGGATGTAAAGGTAAGTCCCAGTGCAGTACCTGAAAGGAACTTGTCACCTCGTTCATGAAGGACTGTATTATGAGCTGTAGTAGAGAGACCAGGAGTCCATGAGACATCCTTTCCTCATGAAGCTGACTCCAAGGCCGACAGCTGTGACTTGGTGGTGTGGCCACGGCCTCTCAGGGCACAGCTACAGAGCCTGGTTCAGGGACCACCCCCACTGGTGACTCCTTTTCCCCTTGGTCTGTCCCCATTCTAGAAGTCTGAGGAGCCCAGGTTCCTCCACCCAACCTCTCTGCCTCAGCAGCTGCCCTCTCAGCAGCTGATGCCCAAGGATCAGGACGAGCAAGAGGAACTGGACTTCCTGTTTGATGAGGAGATGGAGCAGATGGATGGGCGGAAGAACACCTTCACCGCCTGGTCTGACGAGGACTCCGACTATGAGATTGATGACCGGGATGTCAACAAGATCCTCATTGTCACCCAGACACCACCTTACATGCGCCGGCACCCCGGGGGGGACCGCACAGGCAACCACACCTCACGGGCCAAGATGAGTGCTGAGCTGGCCAAGGTCATTAATGATGGGCTCTTCTATTATGAGCAGGACCTGTGGACTGAGAAGTTCGAACCTGAGTATTCCCAGATCAAGGTGAGGCTTGGACATGGCAGTGGCGGGTAGGGCCTGGGTGCCTGGAACGTCTGGTGCAGGAGAAGGCTGATGAGCTGGGTGACCTGGGTGCAGAGCCTCAGTGTCCTCGTATATGGAGAGGGGATGAGCTTTGATGCTTCGCTCGGGCATTAAGAGTGAGAAGAGATGTGTAAACACCTTGAAAACTGTGCCAATGTGTGAGGGGTGGTTATCACACCACTAGCATCTATGTTGAGTGTAACAGTCTGCTAGAAGCTTTTGTGGAAAAGAGAATAGGATTAGATCATCATTTCTATTCTTTAATATTTAGGCATACATAGAGTTGAAATGATTTTTTAAAGAGCTTGTTTTGAGTGTGGAAGATGGAAAAAAGACACGTCTCATAAGCAATCACTGCTCCCTGGAAACAGTTGCAACCTCTGTTGTAGGCTTCTGCTGTGCATATACGGGGTGGGCGGGCACTGGGTGAGCCTGTATGAGTAGCCGTGTGTTTGGTGGAAGCCAGGGGACAGTGGCACAGCTGCTGAGTGAGGAGACGGTGGCAGGCAGAGAGTCAGGGGTCTGCAGCAAGCTCCTGGGGAGCTGGAATCCCGATCTCAGCCTTACTGCAGGGGAGCCAGGAAGGACTGGCTCTGCTGGGTTGGCACACTTGTGCCCCAGGTAACTGGGGTGAGGAATGAGGGGGCAGCGGAGAGCCTGGGGACCAGAATTCCACATATGTAGATGTGGAGCTACCCTCTCCTGCTTACTGCATGCCTTGATCCCTAAACAGGCTCAGACAGCCATCTTAGTAATATTCTTTTCCCACCCATCTCATATCCTCTGCAGCAAGAAGTTGAGAACTTCAAGAAAGTCAACATGATCAGCCGGGAGCAGTTTGACACACTAACCCCTGAGCCCCCTGTAGATCCCAACCAGGAGGTCCCTCCTGGACCACCCCGCTTCCAGCAAGGTGAGAGGTGATGCCTGGGACCCTGGTGTGGGTGGCAGGGTCTGGAGCCCTATGGGGCGCAGCCTTCGAGGGACAGTTAGAGGCACACCCGTGCTACTGACCCTGCTTTGTCTTGTCAGTTCCCACTGACGCGCTGGCCAACAAGTTGTTTGGTGCTCCTGAGCCTTCCACCATTGCCCGCTCTCTACCAACCACTGTCCCAGAGTCGCCAAACTACCGCAATGCCAGGACCCCCCGCACTCCCCGGACACCTCAGCTCAAAGACTCAAGCCAGACATCACGGTTTTACCCAGTGGTGAAGGAAGGACGGACCCTAGATGCCAAGGTGAGGTGCTCCCGCTTGGCTGCTATGAGTCTTGGGCCCATTTATCTGCATTCCAGTGCTTTGCTTCTGTCCCTTGCCCTGTCTGAGCCAAGAAAGTGCTATGGGGCCCACCTGGGATTCAGTGACCATATCTGCAGAACAGACTGGGTGTGAGAGTGTTGGCCCCGTGTGGCCACTATAAGGCCTGTGAAGAACTGACCAGGTCTGGGTCCTTGGGCAAATCACTTCACCCCCGTGCTTTGGTTTCCTCACTGGTGAAATAGGCATGTGAGTGCCTGTCTCACAGCTGTAGGTATCATGAGAGAATACACACAAAAATGCTTTGTGTATTGTGAGGTAACTCACACATGCAAAGGGGTCTTAGTCCTACAAATGCTTGATGCTCCTCAGAGTTGTATGAGTACGATTAATAACAAATCCTGGACTGACCTTTGCAGATGCCTCGGAAGAGAAAGACAAGACACAGCTCAAACCCACCCTTGGAGAGTCACGTGGGCTGGGTGATGGACTCCCGAGAGCACAGACCTCGGACTGCTTCCATCAGGTGCTGGGGCAGTGGAGAGGAGAGGTCCTGCCAACTGCAGGCTGGGTGGGAGAGCCAGAAAGTGAAGAAAGAACCTCTTTGGTCTCAAAATTAAAGGAAGGGGCCCTCATCTAAGTCCAAAAAAGAAGTCTAGAGAGCTTTATCCATGGCCTGGGCAAAGGAAAGCCTCAGTTGGCCCAGCCCCGTGGGACCAGATTCTCTCAGAGGCTGTCTATGAATTGATTTCAGACATGAGTATCTGCTGCCTACCTCACATAAGCCAGGTATTTAAATAAAAATACAGACCCCTGGACCCCACCTTAAGTGTACTGACTTAGTTCTGCGGGTAGGGCCCAGGTTGCTTTTATTTTTAGAATAAGTGCTCCTTGTTCCCTCTTCAAAACAAGGCTCAGGAGTCCATTCTGTGTACTCTACTCCCTGCAAGGATGGTGTAGATTGAAAATAGGCATGGTTTTAAGAAAAATATAGATGATGAACTGATAATAGCTCACTGAAGAAAGTTAAATGATTTAAAGGCTCAGTTTTGGGCAATGTGTAGATCTTAGACATTGAGTAGCTCCATTACCCTGGACCTAGTCTCCCTGGAATACTAGGAACCTGATGACACTGTCTTTCTCATGACCTCTAGCTCCAGCCCCTCTGAAGGGACACCTGCGGTTGGCAGCTATGGCTGTACCCCTCAGTCACTGCCCAAATTCCAGCATCCTTCCCATGAGCTGCTCAAGGAAAATGGCTTCACACAACACGTCTACCACAAGTACCGTAGGCGCTGCCTTAACGGTAAGAGGCATAGTGGTGGAGGGGCGGGCGGAGCCTTTGGGTCCCTGGTTGGATCCAGATTGTATGGGCTGGTGGAATAGCCCTTAATAAAAACAGCCCATGATCCTGTTTTCTCTGACCTCAAAGGTTAAAGAAGTGACATGACATTTTAGCAAGAAGGATTGAAGTTAGACTCAGGCCAGGTGGTTTTGGAATATGGGAGGCTAAAAGAATCTGGTACTTAGAACATTATTCGTTGACCTTCCTCTGTAGGTAAAAAAAAAAATTCAAAACTTTTCTAATTTCTGGCAAGACTGCCAACTTAGTCATTGTCCAGTATGGCCCACTGTCCATCACAAAAGGCTATGCATGAGGAAGTATATATTCTCTAGAACAGGGGTTGCCTAACTATGGCCTATGGACCAAATCTGGCTAGCAGCCTATTTTTGTACAGTGCCTGATTTAATAATAACAGTTTTTACATTTTTAAGGGGTTGTGGGGTAAAACAAGAATTTGCAACAAACCATATGTGGCCTGAAAAGGCTAAAGTATCATTATCTGTCCCTGTACAGAAAAAAGTTGCTGACCTCTGTTTTAGAAGATAGTGTAAGGACAGAACCTCTCTAGATGCCCTCACATGTTTCTTTTTATCACAAAAAGAGATGCGCTTTATCTGTAGGTTTATGTCATGTTGACTGTTGATACGTTCAAAAGCATCTTAACGTTCATTTGTAGTTACTAACCAACCCCACCCCTTCCCATTCAGCAAAACATGACTTGGTTCATCTACGTTGTGTGTGTGTGTATGTTTTTCAGTGGCTTTTAGTATATTCAAGATTGTACGTCCATCACCAGCATCAATTTTAGAACATTTTCATTACCACAAAAAGAAACCCTGTTTCTTAACCATTCATTTCCCATTTTCCCCCCACTGGTTCCTCCGAGGCCTATGTAACCACAAATCTACTCTTTGTCTCTATGGATTGTTTGTTTTGGACATTTCATAAAAGTGGAATCATACAATATCTGGTCCTTTGTGGCTGGCTTCCTTTTAGCACAGTTTTTGCAAAGTTCATCTGTATTGTAGCATGTATTAGTACTTCATTCCTTTTTGTTGCCAAATAGCATTCCATTATTGGCTAGATCACATTTTGTTTATCCTTTCACCAATTGGTAGACATTTGGGTTTTCCACTTTTTGTCTATCATGAATAACATATAATACTGCTATGAACATTCCTGTACACGTTTTTATATGGATGTAAGTTTCCATTTACCTTGGGTGCAAAAATGAAATTGTCGGGTGTATGGTAACTCGGTGTTTAACCCTTTGAGAAATTGCTAGACTGTTTTCCAAAGTGGTGTCACGATTTTACATTCCAATGGCAATGTACGAGGATTCTGATTCTTCACATCCTCCCAATGTTTGTTATTTTATCTTTGTTATTACAGCCATCCTAGTGCTTGTGAAGTGATAGCTCCTTATGGTTTTGATTTGTATTTTCCTGATGACTAATAATGTTGAGCACTGTTTCGTGTGCTTATTGATCATTTGTATTATCTTCTTTGGAGAAATGTCTGTCCAGATCCTTTGCCTATTTTTTAACTGGATTATTTGTTCTTGTTTTTAAGTTCTAAGAGTTCTTTATATATTCTAGATACAAATTCTTATCAGTTACGTGATTTGCAAATTCTTTTCTCATTCTGAGTTGGTTGTCTTTTTACTTTGTTGATCATGTCCTTTGAAGCATGAAGTTTTTTGGTCTTTTAATGACACCAGGTTTATGTATTTTTTCTTTTGTTGTGTGTGCTTTGGTGTTTGTACATTATTTTTTAATGTCATTTTCTTCTAATTAATATTGTAAGACTTCTAATATAATTAGTATTGAATAATGAATATAATTTGTTGGAACATACAAATTATTTGTTCATCCTTTTCATTGATCTAACTATATGTGAGGCTTGAGAGCAATACATTTGAGGTGAAGAGCTAGATCAAGGTGACCTGGTCCAGAAGCTGATGCCACCTGCCTCTGGTGAGGCCCAGTGCTCAGTAGCAGGGCCTGACACAGAGTAGTTAGTGCTCAAGAACTATCTCTCAAAAGACTGCAGGGGCTGGTGATGAGCAAGGGAATTGAGGGTGTGCAGGAGAAAGGACCAAGGTCCTTGAGCCCTGGAATCACTTGTTCCCCAGAGCCTGGGCAGCCTGGCCCTGACACGTCTTTTCCTCCTTTCTGCCCCATCAGAGCGGAAACGCTTGGGCATCGGCCAATCTCAGGAGATGAACACTCTCTTCCGCTTCTGGTCCTTCTTCCTCCGAGATCACTTCAACAAAAAAATGTATGAAGAGTTCAAGCAGCTGGCTTTGGAGGATGCCAAAGAAGGCTACAGGTGAGCAGGATTGGGATGGGGCCTCTGACTGGTACCTGGGGGCAGTGAGGGGTCCCTGGTCGGACTCCTTCCAGAACTAACTAGAGATCTCTTGTATATATACTCTATAAACAGTTTTGTTATTTTTGAGTGAGTAATATGTACCCATGGGTCAAATTCAAAGTCAGGAGGTTATTTAGTGAGAAGTCCCCTCATCTCTGTCCCCCTGCCATCTAGTCCCTTTCCCCCTCAGGTACCCAGTGTGTTAGAACCTTATGAGTCCTTTCTAAAAATACATTGCCTGTGCAAGCAAGGACATGCCACCTAAAGTCTCCCACACTCCTTTTGTTTATACAAAAGATGGCCTCTACTAAATATTATTTGCACCTTGCTTTTCTACTTAATGCTATGTTTTAGAGATCATTCCACGTCCACAGGTAAGTAACTTTCTTGTTCTTCTGTAGCCTGTATGGTCATACACTATATGGATATACCATAATTAACCAGTCTCCTGTTAATAGATAACTTGGGTTGTTTTAAATTTTTTGCTATTTTAAAAAACTTTAAAAGACATCCCCCCTTCCCAAATAAAATGTTCTCTCTAAGCAATTCAAAAAGCACAGAAATGTTAAAAGAAGCTGGGAGGTATTTTCAGACAACCAGTATTAATGTTCTGTCTTATTAGTTTATTTAGACCATCCTGTGAATGCCTTTTTGTGTATTCATTTATAAGCATGAGCATTTTTCCAAGTTGTTAAAATATTTAAATTTTTTGCCTTCTCATAAGAAGTTATCACATGCTTTCTGTTGAAATTTTAGAAATTACAGATGAAATCACTTGAGTGATTTCCCAAAGATATCCCAAAGATAACTAGTGTTAATATAATCAAATGTGTGCTCTTCCACTTTGTATGCTTGTGTAGATGTAAAATATGCATACTTGTTTATAAAAATGGGCTCATTCTATAAGAAAAAAAACCCTACCATTTGCAACAACATGGATGTAGCTAGAGGGTATTATGCTCAGTGAAATAGGCCAGCAGAGGAACAAGTACCAAATGTTTTCACTCATTTGTGGAGTATAACAACAAAGCAAAACTGAAATAACAAAAGAGTAGCAGACTCACAGATTCCAAGAAGGGACCAGCAGTTACCAAAGGGAAGGGGTTGGGGAGGCTGGTTGGGGAGGGAGAAGGGGATTAAAGGGCACTATAATTAGCACACACAATATAGGAAGGCAGTACAGCATGGAGAAGACAAGTAATAACTTTATAGCATCTTACTACGCTGATGGACAGTGACTGCAACAGGGTTGGGGGAGAGCTTGATAATACGGGTGAATGTTGAAACCACAGTGTTGCTTGTGTGAAACTTTCATAAGATTATATTTCAATGATACCTTAATTTTTTTTTAAATGGGTTCATTCTACATGTATCACTTTGAAACGTGTGTTTTCCACTTGATAACATATCCCAAGTATCTCTCAGTACCCATCAGTATGTATTCACATTTAATTTTTGATAGCTTATAGTAATATTCTGTGATATAGATATACCATGATTTTTCTTAACCATGTTTCTAAGACATTAAAATTTTGTTTAATAATTCTGCTATGAATAGTTTTGCACATCGGTAAAATCTAAGTCTGCTGTTTTGGTCATTTCCTTGATGTGTACCTAGCAGTGAAATTTCAGAGTCAGCTAAATGAACCCAACCTACTAATTGGTGCGGTCAGATGACTTTGCAGAGACTTGATCCCAGGGATTGGCAAACTTTTTCTGTAAAGAACAGACAATAAATATTTTAGGCTTTGTGGGACACAGGTCTCTGTTGCAACTACTTAGCTCTGCTCTTGTAGCCAATGACATTTTGTAAACAAATAGGTGTGGGCAGAGGACTGCTTTTCCTTTGGCCAGAGTTTGCCTGACCCCTGACAAACTAAACATTTAATGCTGCACCCACTTACACTAGCATTAAATGTTAGCTTTCTCAAAGAATATTTGCCAATTCATCAATAATCCATGTGTTTAAACTGTTCCATAGCTCATTTATTTTATGCAGGTGAATTTCCCTATTTTACAGATAAAGAGACTGTGTCCTGATTTGACTGACTTCTGTTCTCCTACAGATATGGTTTGGAGTGCCTTTTTCGATACTACAGTTATGGCCTGGAAAAGAAGTTCCGGCTGGACATATTCAAGGATTTTCAGGAGGAAACCGTGAAGGACTATGAAGCCGGTGAGAGCCCGAGTTGGAGTTCTGCAAGCCCTGGCCGTCTAGGCAGGCCTCCTCCCCTCCCACTCCCCAGCTGGGCCTGCATCTGTCTGTGTCACAGCACACCTCCCTCACCTCTGAGCCTCTCTAGTTTCAACTTCTCACAGCCCAGCCTCTCTCTACTTCTCTCTCCTCTTTCCCTGCAGGCCAACTCTATGGGCTGGAGAAGTTCTGGGCCTTCTTGAAATATTCCAAAGCCAAAAACTTGGACATTGACCCCAAACTTCAAGAATACCTCGGCAAATTCCGACGTCTCGAAGACTTCCGAGTGGATGTGAGTAAGAGCCTTTCATCTTTTTCACTCTGATTGTCTTGTAAAGAAAATGGGACCGGAGATTAGGATACCTGGGTTCTGGGCCCAGCTGTGCTACTTGCTGAGGGCTCCCCACCCCTGAAATTTGCACCTTGGTTTCATCTGTAAAACAGAGCATAAGCAGTGGACAGTGAAGGCTAATTGGAGGGGGTTGTATATCTGGTTGCACCTAGTGTGGCTAAGCTGTCATGATGCTCTTTCCCCCTCACCTCACAACACTCCTTGCTGCTGTGCCCTAGTTAGCCACTACTAGTTGAACAGGGTGAATATTCCAGACAAACTTATTTGTTCTTTTTGGATGAGGCCAGTTCCAACTCCAAAAGTTTATAAATAGAGCCTATTCTCTTCCCCCACCCCCACACCCCATCTTGGAGCAACAACGCAATAGTGACATCCAGTGGTGGGTCAGAGTTACTGTTACTGTGTGTATCAAGGGCCAGGGTAGTTGACGTGACTGGGTGGGTATCTGTGCTAGTTGCTTCAGGGACTCCAGAGCTGAATGAAGACTCTTGGCTTCAAAGAGTCTGTAATGCCAGTCATCTTATTCCCTTGGAACCTTTTAGCATAATGACAAATATAAGTAAATAGCAATAATAGTCCTCACATTTATTATGAAATTGCCACTGACTGTGTAGTGTGTACCAGACACTGGGCTAGGCACTTTGCATTGGCCTCATCTAACCTTGATAATGTGAAGTAGGCAGGTTTAGTGTTACTGTCACTGTGTGGGCGCATGAATCGAAGGCCAGGAGGTGGTGAGGTAGTGGCAGTGCTGCTCAGGCCTTCTGTGTGAGGATGAGTCTATTGTCTTTTATCCTTAAGCACTTCCACCTTTGGGGGCTGGAGGGGGGACAAATGTGCAGAGAAGCCTTATAATAGGAAGACCTGTCAGGGTGGGACAAAAAGGGCTTAGCTTTCCTGCCCAGAAAGGGAAGGAAATGTCTTGAAGTCGTCCTGCAAAGTGATGAGGCTAGACAGGATCATGACTGCTTAGTGGATCACTGACTTAGATCTCCAACCTCTTCAGGGCCTTGATGGGGATGAGGCAACCTCAGGATATCTGGGCCTTCTGAAACTGAGATGTCTTAACACAGTGCATGCCACATTCCACATATCCCTGCCCTGAGCAGTGATCCCTTCTCAGAAGCACACAGAAACTTGTATGAATAAAGGCCTGGGCTTTAGACATAGATAGGCCTGGTCCAGTTTGGCTTCACCAGTTATAAGCTGTGGGACCCTGGGCAGATTATTGTTCTGTACTTCACATGCCTCATCTGTAAAATTGGATTTATCATGTATATCAAAGGGTGATAAGAGACCCCATAAGTGAGTATATATAAAACTGCATGGGGCTTGTTGGCATCTTAGCATGGAGATGTGCTTATTAAAAAAACCTTGTGATGTGTTTTTAAGGTTGAACCCATTCATCACTCTATTTGGAAGTAGGAGGTCTCCAGATAGCCTTGGCAAGGAAGGGGGTGTGGGTAGTGTCCCCTAATGACCTGTGACTCCCTCCTGTTACAGCCCCCCATGGGTGAGGAGGGCAATCACAAGCGACATCCTGTGGCAGCAGGAGGTGGCAGCAGCGAGGGGAGGAAGCGATGCCCCTCCCAGTCTTCCAGCAGGCCAGCCACCATGATCGGCCAACCCCCGACACCACCCACTGGCCAGCACCTCCGGGACGATGCCAAATGGACAAGCCAGCACTCGGACGCACAGACTTTGGGAAAGTGAAAAGCCCCTTTAGCCCTGGGGTTTTGGGGTGGGGAGGGGATGGGAGGATGGGTGAGAGTCTGTAGGGGTGCCCAGTCCCAGGAGAGGGGACAGAGAAGGAACAGGCCTAGAGTCATTAGGATGGGCCTTTGTGCTGAGTAGTAATGTGTGCATCATTTGGGCTATCAGAGGTGCCCCTGGGCAGGAGCCTCCACACACCCCCTTCCCCCTCCTCTCTCCATGACTCTTCACATCCTAGCTTCTTCTAAGGGGGGGGAGGGGTGGGGGGAGATTTTTTATATATATATATATATATATCAAGTTTTAAATTATTGATAGTTCGTCTGGATTACCAAAA